GGATGAGGTCATTATGAGAACTGGATATAAGATTGGTAAAATGAGAGGAATTGAAATGGACAGATTTCTGTCTGTTCAATATGAGAGGTTCTGACCTACTAGCTAATGGACCATTAGTGGGATGATTAAGAAAATATTTACTAAATACCTAGTACAGTGGTACCTCAGGTTACATATGCTTCAGGTTACATACGCTTCAGGTTACACACTCCACTAACCCAGAAATAGTGCTTCAGGTTAAGAACTTTGCTTCAGGATAAGAACAGAAATCGGGCTCCAGTGGCGCGGCGGCAGCAGGAGGCCCCATTAGCTAAAGTGGTGCTTCAGGTTAAGAACAGTTTCAGGTTAAGAATGGACCTCCAGAACGAATTAAGCACTTAACCCGAGGTAGCACTGTATTTGCTGGGACTGGATCTTAACAATGTAGCCAAGATAGTAACTCTCATATGCAACTTTGCAGAGTTTCCAGTGAAGAGGGATCGATGGTTAAACCACTCTGTGAATTGGAGCCCAGGGAGTGGAAATAGGTGTCTTCTATGTGAGATGTAATCCATTGGAGCAGTCAAGTACAACATTTCTTGTTTGCCTAGAGTGGACACGGACAGGGGGATCTTGGTCCAGCCAGTTGAACTTCCTGTTACACCTGGTTTGGAGCATCCTCCCCTGTGTGTGACCAGGTAGGTGGGCGTGACCCTTGCAAACCCCCCAAAAGGTCCAGTCATGAAGCCATCTCCCCTTTTCTTCCTCTTGATGCCATGCTGTCTTGATACTGATGTATTTTGCTGTCTGCTGGCTCTCAGCCACCAGGACATGGGCTCATTCCCATATGTGATGAACTCAAATCCCTTTTCTATAACTCTAAGCTAAAGCCTGCCTCCAGGGATCCAACTGTGAACTGAATGTGAGTAAACTTTTTATTATTTTAAAAAGAAGCTACTTGTGTCTTTATTCTTTTTAGGAGCGATAAAAGTGGACTTGCCAGGAACAGAACCCAATCTGAACAAAGCCAGATTGGATTGCTTAAGTAAAGAGATTCAAACGAATCTACCAACCTGCTATATATTGGAGAATGCACTCTGCTGCTGACTCACAAGTGTGAGTTAGGAAGGAGACAATTTAATCAACATATCCTCTCCTAGTATCTACAACATTCCCACGTTTTAGCCACTCTTGGCACCGTTAACAAACTACAGCTCCCAGAATTCTTAGGGGAAACCATGGCCGTCAACGTGGTATCATAGCACTTTAAAAGTGTGGTGTGAATCTGGCCTAAGTCCACTGAAGGCCTCTCCTGTGAGAGGGATGCTCTGCCCACCCACACAAGGAGCGAACCAAAAGTGCTTCTGGCGTTTCCCCGATCCGATGAATTTCCTTGTAACGGAACCCTCAGCAACTGGGTTTTTTTTTAATGTGTTCCACCATCTCGCTTTCTCTCACAGTGTTTAGCACCACGAGGAGGCAATTTTCAACAGATCATCTGTGTCTGTGCACGCGCATAGCATAGAGTGCCCTTTGCTGAATAATGCATGGTGTTCCGGTGTGCACAGATGAAGCCTAAGTGGCCACAGGGAGAAACCGTCTCCAGGGAGGTGGTGTGATCAATGCCCGCCTGGCTTTAATGCACGCCTTCCCTGAGCAGGGCCTTGATGGCTGTATTTGTGCACATTCCCCCAGTTGTGATGAGCACTGGCCGCCGTCAGTTCCCCACACTTCATCCCCCATGTCTCCATTTCCCACTCAAGGCTCAGTTCTTCAGATTAATAATGCAAGCCATAATTAAGCCACCTCCCTTATCATCAGCTTGTCGGCGGGCCCGGCAAGAGACTGGCTTCCCAGCAAAATCCCCACTCCACCCACAGCTTCAAACTGGGTTACCGCTCTTTAGATGGCGTCTTCCAATGATATGTGGATTTGGGTTTCCTCACCTGAGCATCACAACAGACCTGAGCGATAGATGTAGGAAGAGTGCAAGATTGCAGACAGGTTATGAAGAGAGCGATTGGCCTTCTGCAGGAAGGTGATTTGGCAGAGGAAATGAATGGCGGTGGGTGCTTCATTGAGCTATTGTCCTGGTTCCCCCCTCCCACACTCAAAGCCTGTGGGGAATTGGCATTTGTTCTGATTTGTGTGTGCATGATTATGCTACACATTCTGATAGATTTTCCCGGCACTTTCCTTATTGCGAAAAGTCTGGCTCTGTTGCACCAGAACACCAAACCCGTTTCAGCTGTGCAATCGGCATTTGCCAGTATGTGATCAAATTGTGCTCCCAAATAGCAACTGTCTGGGGGAGCCCCAGTCAGACAGCTATTGCAGCAGAGTTATCTGCCCAGAGCAAAAGCTAGAGGCAAGCCCAGAACAGGGACTCTTGCAGAGATGCAGCGAGCTGCCTCCTCCTTTGTGTATGGTGCCTTAGGGGTCACAGGAGTCTTTAATTATTCAATTTACTTCATTCCACATGGTAGGCTAGCCAGTCTCTCCCTGGCCAGGGCACTCCAGCAAAATGAACGGCTCCTTTGCATCTCTGACAAAACTTCGGAGCTCAATACAGATTGCTTTATTACAGAACCAAAAAAACCCACCACTTCTTCACACAGCATAGATGATCAGTGGATGGTCTGCTGCCAAAATATGTGACCTAGACCATTTTAAGTGGGATTATGAGACACATTTACAGAAGATGGTAAGCTTATTGGGTTCTTTGAACCTTCTGCTCAAGCAGTACAAATGGGATCTGCAATGAAATGTTGCTGTAATGGAGTCCTTCTGTTCTGGGTGCCGGCCAATTGCCAGCCATGGCCCCTTTCAATATATTCCATTCCTTTCCCCTCCTCCCAGTTTTCCATTCTCCCCACCCCACTAAAACAGACAGAGATAGCCTTCCATGTCCACTCGGCACGCCCAGTCCTCAACAGGTTTGTTTTTTGCGGGGGGCACTGCCCTGCCCAGACACCCCCCAAATAGTTTTTCTGCTTCTGCAAACCTTGGCATTCCCCTGAGCCTGCTGGTGCTTCATGTTTGGATCATGCCAAACTGGCAGCCTAAGAATCCCGTTGGAAGATTCAGGACAGATAAAGTCCTCCGTCATGCAGCGCATAGTTAAACTATGGAACTCACTGCCACAGGAGTCAGTGACGGCCGCCAACCTGGATGGCTTTAAAAGAGGGCTAGACAAATTCAGGGAGGGGAGGGCTATTGATGGCTACCAGCCAGGATGGCTATGCTCTGCCCTCCACAGCTGAAGGCTTCTGAATACCAGTTGTTGGGAACAGCAGGACGGGAGAGGGCTCTTGTGATCAGATCCTGCTTGTGGGTTTCCCACAGTTTGGCTGCTGTGAGAACAGGATGCTGGAGTAGATGGGCCTGATCCAACAGACTTGTCTTAGGTTCCTGTGCCCCCTTGAAGAAGGGAGTGAGCTTTCGGGCTACTGCCGCCTTCCCCAATCTGGTTCCTCACAGAAGCTTTGAACTACAATTCCCATTATCACTGACCATTGGTCCTGTTGGGTTGCTTGGGAGTTGTAGTCTAAAGCATCTGGCAGGAAAGACAACAGCCAAGGTAAAGCTGTTGCCTTTGCACTCTGCTTCCCAGAAGTGTTCAGTTGGACACTTTTGGAGGAAAGACTGTGTGGATCTTTGGGCTGATCCAAATGGACTCATCTTCTTTTTCTTGTTTTAAAAATTTTATTTAATCATTTTTTCAATACAAACAACAACTGCAAAAGACACTACAACAAAAACCATAATAACAATAATAACACAATTTGACAATTGAGATTTAAATACACTGATATGCACCTTTTAAACAATATTTTATCACCTCTCTCTCCTCCCCCCACTTCCCCCCACTATCCACCTTATCACTTAAATATTCATTCCAGATTTCTTCATATTTATCCATTCTTAATTTGCGTTGACATGCAATTCATTTGTATGTAGCTAATCTGTCCATATTATCAATCCATGTGCTCAATGGCATCTTTATGCGGCTCTTCCAATTCATTAAAACAAGGGGTTTTTTTGCTTCTAATATAGCACGGTACATCCTCTTTTTTTTTTACCCCTTGAAATCTCCCACGTTTCTTAGCATGTGACTCCTTTTGACCTGGATGGGTAAGGCTTGGACCCGGGGGATGGGGTTGGACAGTAGCACACCTTCCAGGGAAACAGTCATGACAGTTATTAGAGATTTTAAAAAAAACACCAGATGTTCCAAATGGCTTTTAAATGGGTCTGAAATGTGTGTTTGTTTAGTTGGGTTTTGAAATTGCTCTTAAATGTGGTTTTTGTTTTATTTTAAACGGCCTTGTTTTAACTTGTTTTAATGATTGCCGCTCTGGGCTCCTTTAGGAGGAAGAGTGGGATAGAAGTTTAATAAATAAAAAAGCAAACGCCCCGCTCTTTGATATTTCAGGGCAGGAGGAGGAAGAAAGGGAGGCTTCACTGCCATCAACTTCCTTGGGTCTGCTGGCAAACAGGGATGCAGAAACACCTGTCACCCAGATGTGGAGCCAGGCAGCACAGAGGATGAACATCTGTACCACATGTCACATGCCAACACAGGATAGGGAGGAGGAGCCATTAAAGTCCAGATACGAGCATAGAGGAACCTGGTGTATTGACGTTTCCCCTGGCACTGACCTCTTTTGATTCATTTCAGGGACAGCCCAACCATGAAACGGAGCTGAGGGCTGGCTTCAACAGGAAGAACAATCTTCCTTCCTTGAGCCTTTCTGTCGCAGCAGGATTCAAATCTCTGGTGAACTTTGAAGTTCCACTAGCTTTGGGGATGGAATGCACAACTGTTAATTGTTGCCTAACCATCTCTCTGACCTCCCCACCCCTATAGCTGGGTTTGCGTTTAACCAAGAGGAAGCTTGGGGGGGGGGGAGTTGCAATGTCTCCCACCCCAATAGGAGTCAATGTTTTCACTGTAATAAGCTGTATGTTTTCAAAGAATCAGAGAGGGTCACCACTCCAACCCCCTGCAATTCAGGGGTATTTGGCCAATGTAGCACTCGAACCCATGTCCCTGAGATTAAGAGTCTCACGCTCTACCGACTGAGCTATCCCAGAGGACCTGATCAAATAGATAGTTTAATTTATCTTTATATATTTTACTACTGTTAACATTTAATTGTTGTTTTTTAAAATGATCGCTTCTGCCTCCTTCACCCCACATCCAGCCATGTTTTTGGCTGGTTCTGTTTTAACTGTAAACTGCCTCGAGTCCCTGTCAGGGGAAAAGGTGGGATATAAACAATAGAATCACAGAACTGTCGAGTTGGAAGGGACCCTGAGGAGGATCATCTGGTCCAACCCCCTGCAATGCAGGAATATGCAGCTGTCCCATGTGGGGATCGAACCTGCAACCTTAGCATTAATCCGCACCAAGCAAATAAATTTATTTATAAAAATTCAGGGCTCCAGTGTGGAGCCTTGTAGGAGCCTCGAGTCCTTTCAGGCTATGTGTATGTGGAAAAGTTTCTATGGGACAAAGGATACTCCTACCCCCAACAGACTTCCTCTAATAATAACAGCAATACTAATAGCAATAGTTGTTGTTGTTTAGTCATTTAGTCGTGTCCAACTCTTCGTGACCCCATGGACCAGAGCACGCCAGGCACTCCTGTCTTCCACTGCCTCCCGCAGTTTGGTCAGACTCATGCTGGTAGCTTCGAAGACACTATCCAACCATCTCGTCCTCTGTCGTCCCCTTCCCCTTGTGCCCTCCATCTTTCCCAACATCAGGGTCTTTTCCAGGGAGTCTTCTCTTCTTCTCATGAGGTGGCCAAAGTATTGGAGCTTCAGCTTCAGAATCTGTCCTTCCAGTGAGCACTCGGGGCTGATTTCCTTAAGAATGGATCGGTTTGATCTTCTTGCAGTCCATGGGACGCTCAAGAGCAATAGTAGTAATCAACATTTGTGTAACACATTTCCAGATCATCCTTGGCCAGATTACCCACACAAAAGGAGCCGTCTCATGTAGCCTGACACTCCTCTTGATCCTGGTTAAATATCCAGAGTCCCTAGCTCAGAGATGCTCAGATCCTTTTTCATTTCAAGGGCCAAGGTCCCTAATGGCTAACATTGAGGGTGTGTGTATATATATGTGTGTGCGCGTGCACATGCACACACACACTTGCAGTGGGTAGAGTCAAAGCCTCATGCACCACCCCATTGGCTGTGTTCCGGGCTTAACCACAGCCAATCACACACAAAAGACCCCCTTCCTTCACAGTTCATTTAACTCTCCCTTTAATGTTAATAGAGTGATTTGCATGAGTAACAGCTGTAGCGCATCGGCATATAAATACACATTTTTTAAAAACAAAACAAAACGCAGTACTTAATACAAAGGACTTACTGAAAGTAATGAATCTGAATTCTCTGCAGACTCATTAAACGCGGCTCATTACTTCCAGTACAACCCTCGTAATTTGAACAATGCCACTCATGATCCCACACACATTTCTCCAGAAGGAACCATTCGTTTAATGATGATTGACTCTGGAGTAAGCTGGGTGTAGGATTTGGGGTGTAATTTTTTTCCAGAAAAAAAATCCTGCCAAAAAGGTTGCTCAGTCCTAAAGGCCTCCATCTCACAGAAGCTGCGGCAGGACACCTCAAAGGCATTTTGATCCCAGCTGCTGGCAGGGTTATCTCCCTGAAATGGAAAAGGAATGTCCAGATTATATATCCAGCGTTGGATAAGTTCCATTCTTATGGTGTTCAGATCTGAAATATCCTTTGAATCAAAGGCCGAGCAGAATATATAACCCTTTGAATAATTTCCTGAGTTAAAATAGCTGCAAGGAACGATGAGCTCTTTATAGCCACAGGGTTGGCTTAGAAGGTGTATGCACCGCCACCTGACGTGGGCATATTTCACCATATATGGGTAAATGTGGAAATCTGGAAGGAAAGGGGCATGTTTTTGATACAAAATTCTGGAGCATAATTGCTGCAGCCCTCAAAACTAAAACAAGCATTCAGATTTTAATCCTGCCCTTCTTCAGAGGCAGGCTCAGGTTGACACAGCGCTGGCTGTGGGTTTGAGGGGAGAGTTGTCAGGCTGGATCCTGCAAACCTTTTTGCATCGACCATGGAGGTTGCTGCCTTTGAAAGGGCACTTGATCCACAGACATCCATCCCAGGTACCAGAGCCCATTACCGTCAGGGCCATCAGTGCTGCCTCCCCACCCGCCCGGTGGTGGCAGTGGCAGAATGCAAGTGTACCAGTGAAGAAGCCATTGATGTTTCCCACAATGCAATGCCCGAAGAATAGCGCCATTCTAGAATGTAATGGGGAATTAAAATGATTGGCTCCCAGACCTCCGCAGGGCACGGGTTGGGGGCTGACACTCTGCTTTCCTGCAATGACACACTTTGGGGATGCTGAGGGACGCAGATGCCTAGCGCTTACCAGCTCAGAGCGCTGTTAAAGGAGGGCCTGCTAGGATTCTAGTCCAGGGGTCAGCAAACTTTTTCAGCAGGGGGCTGGTCCACTATCCCTCAGACCTTGTGGGGGGGCCAGACTATATTTTGAAAAAATATATGAACGAATTCCTGTGCCCCACAAATAAACCAGAGATGTGTTTTAAATAAAAGGACACATTCTACTCATGTAAAAACACAGGCCTGATTGAGAAGGCGATTGGGCCAGATCCAGCCCCTAGTTTGCCTACCCATGTTCTAGTCCCTGGCACTGCCTCAGGATGGCATGTGATGCTTGCAGGTCTGGGTTGATTAACATACAAATAATCATGCTTCACCAATCTATATGGTATGTTACTTAGCTTGAAATTGGGGTGGGGAGCATGCTATTCAAAAAAGGGGTGCTTAAGGTCACAATTTATTTAGCTGTGATTTCTGCACTGCAGGGGGGTTGGATTAGATGACCATTTGGGACCCTTCCAACTCAATGAATCTATGATTCCATTGTGAAGAAAAAGCAGCTGTGGGGGCCCTGATCCAGAAAGTCAGTGGTTTTGTAGTGTGTATATTTTTCTTTATCGTCTGATCCATGTATTTTGCCAATACGTTTGTTTTCTTGTTTGATCTTTTTGTAAACCACTTTGATGGGCTTTTTAACAAACTCAAGCAACGTATAAATTTTATGGATAAAATAATATAAAACAAAGAGGCAACAAAAATGAAGACTTACTGAGACAAAATTAGCATGACATCTGTGAAGGGAAATCCTCCCCCCACCAAACTTTTAGAGTTCTTTGTGGGTGTCAACAGGCTCATAGCCAAAAGTGATCTGGTAACCTGGTTTGTTTGCTTTTGTTTTTAAAGCGCATCTAAGTACCTTGATAAAACTTAGTAGTGGGAGCCGGCACAAGAGGACAAGTCATTTTATAGATGGGTAACCAGTTAAGGAACAGGAAGCTGAAGGCAGCAGGACATGAATGAACGGTTCTCACAATGAACGGAAGTGAGCAGCAGGGAGGTCTCCCTTTATTCCCAAATAATCTTGAGTCAGGGTATTTCCTGAGGTAGCCAGGATTATGAATGATACCAAACCGCTCAAGATGTCTGTGCATGGACCCCCCCAAGCCAATTTATGGCTTCAGTTTGTAAATCTAGATCAGACCCAATCTGGCCTGGCTGGCTGGACCAAACCACATCTGAATCCTCACTGTGATTGGGAAACGACAGATCTCTGTAAATAACACCCTTGGGACTTGAGAGTTGGAGACACAGAAGCCCGAAGAAAAAAAAAACAGCCCCAAAAACCGTTCAGCAAAGCAGCTAAGGGCCAATAGAGTTGCCAAAGCTCAGAATGGAGGAGGGGCCCTGCATTGCAGGGGGTTGGACTAGATGACCCCAGGATCCTTTCCAACTCGACAGTTCTGTGTTTCCATGACTCTGTCCACCTGATCAAGGGGGAAAGGGCAGGCATATGAAATATTTTGTTCTGCCCCCGCCGCCCAATATGGCTTCTATCGGAAAGACAGTTTCATTTGGATGGGCTCCTGGCTTGCATAATTGCATTTGTCGGTGGCACCGCGCCAGGTTTCCCTTGCTGCGCTGCTGCTGGCGGTGCGCGGACGAGGGCGGGGGAGAGAAAGATGGCTTTATCCAGCTGCCCCTTTGCCTGCTGCGCCCCTGGCCACACCCCTCTTTCCATTTGAAGAGGCGCCTCTGCTAGGAGCATTGTGGTAGCTCCATCCTCTTTAGCCCCAGCCAAGAAGACTCTGCCAGGTAGTTGGATCAGAGTCCTGAGCCAGGCGTGGAAAGCAAGAAAACCTCCTCCAGCCGCGCGCAGCATTTTTCTCTCCTCTCTGCCCAGGCAAGTTGCAAAGGAAGCCAGTATAAAACTTTACTTCTTGGTAATTTCTTCCTATTACTTGCTCTCCCCCCTCCCCCGTTTGGAGGTTGGGAGCACTGATAGCCCACGATGCTTTATGACCTATGACTCGCTTTTTCTTCCAGCACTCCGTGGGGAAGGGGTTGCAGAGAAGGGAGGGAACCTTGCAATCTGGAGTCAGGCACCCATTCCAACTCCCGCAGTGGAGAGGTGCTTTGTACAGGTGACGAATGAAAGCAGGGAGGGAAGAATTTTGTTTCTGGGCTCAGTGGCTGGACCTAATTTCTCAAGCTTTGACATTGCTCGGTAGGCGGATATGCCGCAGAGTGTTCAGAGTTGGGGTGCTAGTTGCTATGGTTTGTGTCCCTACTCAGAGTAGACTCGTTGAAGTTAATGGATATGATGAATTAGTTTCAATGAGTCTCCCCAGGGAAGAACTTTCGATACAACCCTATTTATTAGCAGTAGTGATAATAAAAAAATATTACCTTTTTAATATTAATTTTTATTAGCTCTTTCAAAGGTTTTAACAGATTTACTTCACATGCACTTATATTTTTTCGTTTTGACTTCCTGTCCTTCCAGCTCTGATGTTTTTATTCTTATCCTTAATTGCTGCATTATACAATATCAACATTAATCTTATCAATCATCAACATTGGATGGCATGCTTTAGGATTCTTATGCAGATATATTTGGTGTCTGTTTTGAAGCATCCTCATTCTCTCCACCCCCCACCCTACTTCCCATTTCCACTCCT